TATAGGAAAAAACTTTACTAATCACTACCAAAATAAAGTGAGTGATCACTCTGCGTATTTCTGTTGGTGTGATATATTCGAAGCATTCTGCAATGTTTTAAATCATATCTCTGATATTAACATTCTGCAAATTTTCCACTCTTGTCTTCCAAATGCCGAAGATCATTTTAACTGGGTTGCGTTCAGGACTATATGGAGCATTATACATCACATTGCAGCTTTTAGTTTCGGAGTAAGGTAGTAGAAGGTCCATATATACCGAAGCGTTGTCTATCACAGAAATAATGTTATTACCATCTACAGTGGACGCGTCAACGAGTGCCTTGAAGTATCTAGTAAATATTGCACCATCAACTACTTTATTAAACAATTTAAAATACTTAGAACCAGTGTCGCTAATGGCACAAACAATTGTGTGATAATATAATCAAGTTATAATACTCTGGATAAAATACTAAGGAACAAAATAATTATTTCAAAAAAAGTTCAATAATAATTATTATAAAAATTTAATTACAACGATTATTTTTTTTCAATAATATATATTTATTATCAAATTAAACTTAATTCACTTAAACTCATAAACTTATCATTGTTGATTTTATTTATCAAATATATTTTTATATTATATTTAATGTTTTTATAGACAATAAATACATTGTTTATTATGTTATTTTTATAAAATTATACTTAAAATATTTTAATAACGAATTTATTTGTAAATTAATTAATAAATGTTATTGTTAATATATTCTCGTACGTTTCTTTTTAAGAACACACCCATGTTGTTTTCTACGAGATGGACATATCCAATCACCATCATCTTTCTTGTTTTTTATAGTCGTTGTTTTTACATATTTGTCATAAATAAGTTCTTTCGTTTTTGGTTTTTTAGAATCGGTTTCGTGTGGACATTTTGTTGTTTTCTTTTTTTAATTGTTTTTACTTTGTTTACTATTTCGGAAGTATCAATTTCAATATTTAATGTTTCTCCTAGTTCCTGATCATCACATGGATTCTTTTCAAACTCTCCTTCAATCGCCTCATTATCATCATTTATTACTTGTTTACTATCTGTTGTTCGATTTCTCAAATAATCTTCTACAAAACCAACATCTTCGATGTTTATTTTTTCAATATTCCAATCTCCAAGAACACATTCTTCGACCACAGCTTTTTCGAAAGATAATTCCAAGTTTTCTCTAGTCTGTATTTTCATAATAGCTTGGTAAAATTCTTCACTTGTGATCGAATTGGAATAAAAAGAAGTGGTTGCTGCAAAAATTGATTTGTTTTAATTACACTTTTGGTGTTTTTTGATGGGCGTTGGCTCATTTCTTTAACAACTCTAATTGCTTCATTTTCGATTGATACCAATTTCAATAACAGCATTTCAAAAGAAGGCTTTTTGAAGACATTTTTTTAACAAGAGCTGAGTGATAACTCTCACTAATATTATCTGTTCTCAACGACTGTTTGTACTGGCACCATAAAGGCAATGGCCATTTCCACATCCAATTCATTTC